TTATTAGGCACTGCTATCATTATTTTCAGTATTCCTGAATCCTGTCATCCAAGAGAAGCCCAGCAGGCATAAGAGGAGGAGTGCGTCCCCATGACCGTGGTGCCAACAGTTTTTGCTTTTCTTTGTCCATGTCGAAAACCTACTATGTTGTTGATGCGAGATGGGAGACGCCTGGTGGTTGAAATGTTGTCGTTGTCGTTGTTGTTGGACTGCCGTGAGCGGAAATACAATTTTCTACTCTACAGCGCTGAGATCTGTAGTGTTTTGGTTGCTCAATATTCAAACTAGAGTATAAGCTTTTTGTTGCATCTCATACGGTGCATATCTCGCTGTCATCATCATGCTGTTTATAATGATGACAATAGGTGATAAATAAATAAGCACACGAACGTGACGGACCATTATCGGTCTTTTGACGACGTCCGTTCGGATGATGGGTGTCCGATTGATGTCGAATGAGTCATCATTTGCTTCGGGCAGTTTGAGGATAGGAAGGAAGTTCTGCTCGGCATCACCCTTCCACCCAATAGGAAACGATCAAACACATCATCGCTCACAATAGGTGAAGCTTCTGTGTTCTATCAATACCGGTATATTTGTCCGAAACCAAAAGAGCTTCTCCTCTACATCATAATAATACACGCAAAACAGCAACAACAACAACAACAACAACAATGGGAAGTGGCAGTGATGGTGTCAAGACGAGATCCATTCGTGGAGTTAACGTTTACGGAGCCTACAAAGGTGTAAGTTTATTAATGCGAGACTGTTTGCATCATTCATTTCATTTCTATTCAATCCAACTCAACTCAACTCACACCAATTCATCTCTCTTTTTCTCTCCCACCAACGCATCAAAACTTATCTTCCTGTGATGATCCATCCATCCATCCATCCGTCCATCCGTCGATTGACGATCGATTGCTTTCTTGTTCCTTGCTCTCCAATTTACAATACTACTAGAATACCATGACACCCTGGAAGAATTCACGCAACGAAGGACGGGAAGGAGATGCCGTCGACAAATCCAAAGCCAAACATTGGATCGACATGCCCAACGATTTCCGGGACGAGAAAACTCCTGACGATTGGATTCCAAGGGATGGACGCATGGTTCGTTTGACAGGTCGTCACCCTTTCAATAGTGAGACTCCCGTCGATGAAATGAACAAGGAAGGATTCTTCACTCCGCCCAATCTGCACATTATCCGAAATCACGGTGCCGTTCCACAACTCAAGTGGGAGACTCACAAATTGTCGATTGGTGGACCCTTGGTGGCCAATTCCTTTGAGCTGAGTATGGACCAACTGACCAAAGATTTCCCACAAACCGAATTCCCCGTGACCATTTCATGCTGTGGAAACCGTCGCAAGGAAATGAACATGATCAAGCAGACCATTGGATTCAACTGGGGCATTGGTGCGGTAGCCACTTGTATCTACCGCGGTGTGCTTTTGCGAGACCTTTTGATTCATGCGGGTCTGGATCCCTCGGATACTGCTGGGCGTTTCGTCGAATTCATCGGTACCGAAGATTTGCCCAACAAGGCCGGTGATGTCGGTCCCTTCCCGGACGAACCGTGGGGCGACAAATGCAAATACGGCACCAGTATTCCTCTTGAAAAGGCCATGAGCATGGCGGACGAAGTCATGATTGCCTTTCAGTGCAACGGCGACCGATTGCATCCGGATCGTGGATACCCTTGTCGGTTGATCATCCCTGGATACATTGGAGGACGCATGATCAAGTGGCTGTCCAAAATTAATGTCCTTCCCCACGAAACGCACAACCATTATCACTATTGGGACAACAAATATCTGCCGCCCCAAATCACGGCCGAACGTGCTGCCCGTGAGGGATGGTGGTACAAACAAGAATACATTATCAATGAACTTAGTTTGAATTCGGTCATTACCTACCCCAATCACGGTGAATCTTTACCAGTGAATGAATACATTGATTCCACCTTGACGCTTCGTGGCTACGCCCATGCCGGAGGTGGTCGTCCCGTCACAAGGGTCGAAATCTCTACTACCAAAGGAGAATGGTGGGATTTGGCCGAAATTCATCGGACCGAAAAGCCAAACCCCTACGGTAAAACTTGGTGCTGGGTCATGTGGTCCTTTGAATTGGATTGTGCCAATTTGCAAGATGAAATCTGGGTCCGAGCTTGGGATACTTCCAACAGTCCCCAACCAGAGAATCCAGTGTGGACGCTCATGGGACAATCGTCGAACCATTTGTTCCGAGTCAAGGTCTCAGTGAACAAACCTGAAAATGGAGTTGCAGCCTACAAATTTGAACACCCGACACAACCTGGACAACAGTCTGGTGGCTGGGCCACTCGCACTGCGGAAAAGGTCGCGAGTGCTGGATACGGGCCAATCGATTTTGAAGAATAGACTTTTTTCAAAAACATTAAGAGTAGGACTAAAGGACTAAAGGACTGATTTAATTTGTTAAAAGTGCTTTGACTTATAGTTCATTTTGTACGTTAGAATAAGAATGCAATGACAACATTGAGCATTGAGCTACACTATAGAGTCGAGTTTATGTTCCATTTTGCATACATTGTGATTGTCTTCAAAAAAAGAATCCTATTCATACGTCATCTGCAATCTGTATATTATGCGTGCCAACGACTCTACTGATTGGATGGCTTTCGCTGATCGTCTAGTAAAAAATCACGTCCATAGTGAGCAGTGTTCCTAGTTGAATACGCCTTCATTACTCCTAGCTCTCCTCTAGCTGTATAGAGGATGACTGTCATCAGTACAACATCGACGCCAGGCGTCTTGTTCGCTCGTCATACCTACGCTCGTAATTGGAACGCAATTTTACTTGTCCACACTCATCCTCAGTCGCTCTTTATTCGCCCTTTAGATCATTTTGAAAGGACCAGAAGTTTGTTCATGCATTCAGCAAGAAGAAGATCATTGGATAGATCACAAATGATTGCGGTAGCTGCAAAATGCAATCGCCATTTTCATGACGGCACCTACTGCTACTGACTGCAAGGATTGTCTGTAAACGGACTTGAGGGACAGTCGAGGACACTAGACAATAGAGTTGTAATAGAGGTAGGATTGCTATTCTTATTGATGATAGTTCATGAAAGTGAGGATTGCTCTGAACTTGAGCAGAAGATCCAGCAGTAGATACACGTAGAGAGTAGAATATAGAGTTTGGGAGAAGAACTGAGGTGTCAAGTGATCGTGAGAATTACCCAATCAGAGTAAGCCACCGGTCCAATCTATTGGACTCGCGGTGCGATTTGCTTGACCTCAACACTCCCTCTTGATCGAACAGTGAGGTATGTAACATGAATGAAGAGTATGCTTACCATCCGCAGAGTAGTTTTCAAATGGTGCGGAACTTGTCCCAGGTAAGTCCCTTCGTGAGAATATCAGCCTCTGAGCTTCTGATTTGATATATTCAACGGATATGTTGTTTGTGGAATCCAAAACGTGAGATTGGAACCACACTACAAACCATCATGTAGCGATTTGGCACCGGGATTACAACCGTAGAACAACAGGAAAACTTGATCGGCGATGCTGGCTCGCCATAAGTGGTGCTTCCTGGTAAATATCCCGTCCATAAGTGAGG